TAATTTTAAAAAATTTGGCTATTTTATTGGACATAGGATCTTTATTAAGACATTTGTAGTTGCTTACTTGATTCTTGTTTTCATTTTGTTTTATTTTTACTCTTGTAGGCTTTGTGACCTTGACCCCCCAGACACAGGTTCTGACTTGTATCAGGGGTCAGTCCTGCTCTGCTTCTCTCAAAGTCTTCTCAATTCTAATGAAGTAGGTTCATTCCTGATGTTGGTTTTATCTACATAAAACATAGGTGAATGGATATTCCAAAGTGACTCAGATGTATAGCTGTCTGATTAGTATTCTCATCAGTGATTAAAGCTGACACTATTTATCAATTAATCCATAAACTCCTCTCTTATTTTGCTGAGCTTTGAAAACCGTATACAAGGCAAAACACTGACTTAGTAGAAGAACCATAATGGGTTGGGAGAGGTTGGATTGAGTACATTGCAAAGTTTTAGTATATTATATAATTTTGTTAAATATTTATTTATGTACTTACTACGGTACTTGGAATTAAACCCAGGAATTTGGATATACTAGACATGTGTTCACCACTAAACTACTTCAATCAACATTTGAAGGATTTTTTTTTTAATCAGCTTAACAAATGGCTGAAGGAACTGACCATCTGCCTACCTTGCCCCCTGATTTAAAGTCTTTTTTTAAAAATATATTTCATTTATTATTTTTATTTTATGTGAATGAGTGTATTGCCTGCATGTAGATAGGTGCACCCATGTCCTGCAATGCCCATGGAGGTGAGATGAGAGCCATTGGATCCCCTGGAACTGGAGTTAAGGATGATTGTTAACTACCATGTGGGTGCTGGGAACCAAACCTGGGTCCTCTGCAAGAGCAGCCAGTGCTCTTAGCTCTACAGCCCCTAACATTTGAAGGATTTAAATAATCTCTACCATTAGATGTGGTGATGACTCAGGCCTATAACAACACTTGGTATGAAAACACAGGAGGATAACTGTAAGTTCAAGGCCAGCCTGGTCTATATAGTAAATTCAGGCTATTAGAGCTAGGCGGTAAGATCCTGTTCTCCACCACCACCAAAAAAAGAAAAAAGAAAAACAAAGCAAAACAAAATAAAATCAGAAAAATAAGATAAAACCTCTATTAAAATGGATGGGGGCATCCACGCTTCTATGAATAAACCCCCACCCTGTGGTGTTAGCAAGTCCAACAAACTTGCTAGGATTTAAAAAAAAAAATCAGTAGCTCAATTATATTAGTGAAAATAAAGTGATGAGACTTTGAAAGAAAAAAACTTTCTATTAACATACTTAAAGAGAAGTTATAAAATACATAATGCATATTAAAACCAAGTGGATTTCTTTGAATGCATTCTTATTCTGTGTATAACCCAATACTAATTTCTGTGCATCTGTGGAGTTAGACTTTGCTGGGATTTTTAGTGTGTCACATAAATAAAAATATAGCTCATAAGTGATAGCTACCATAATGTAAGTCTGTGGAATTCAGACATTCCTTCTAATTGTGAAGAGGAGAATCAGGAAAAGTTTGTTATGGAAATAAGTACACCATTTTGTGGAGACAATATGTCTTTTTAAATTTAGTAGGAAAATATTGTAACTGCTAGAAGTGTGTTTTGTTACTAGAAACTAAAACTATATTTATGTTTGTCTAATAAAATAGTAAGAATAAATTAATTTCTTAGTGGGGGGGATGAGCCATGAAGGAGTCTGGAGAGATGCTTCAGCCACCATTAAGAGCACTTATTGCTCTTGCTGAAACCCGGGTTCAGTTCCCAGCACCCACATGGTACAGCTCCCATTTGTTTGAAACTCAGGTTCCAGGGAATCTGATGCCCCCTTCCTACCCCCTGCAGGTTTCTGCATATCCATGGTGCACTTAAACTCATGCAGGCACACACACATACATATAAATAAAAAAACTACGTAAGTAAATCTTTAAAACAGGAATCATATTGGATAATGGTCTATTAACACTTCTAAAACTCAGACTATAGTTAGATAATCGAAACATTACAGAATAAATAGGGCTTATCATTATTAAAGCAACCAAATATTTGCATATTAGATGTTGCTTTTGAAGAGTAAGACAGTTATTATGGTTTGGTAAGTATAATTTCACAAAATAAGAATATGTTAATTTTAATTTAAAATACTGGTAATTTTGTATCAATAAGTAAATGCTGCTAAATTATGTGGGAATGAAAAATATATGATACCTTAGAGTAAAATAATAAGACTTGATATATGAAAGAATGGTAAAAAGACTTTACCATTCTTTCATATATCAAGTCTTATTATTCATAAATGAAATTTTCTTTTAAACTAGTTTATTCAAACGATGCACCTTAGCTTACATGTGTCATAGGGCCACTTAACAACATTAAATACCTTTGAATATTCTAGTCTTTTAACTGCAAATGATATATACTATTAAAGGGGAAGTCATTCTTTTAATTTCTATATAGTTAAAAGTTTCTCTGGAAGTAGATATGATTTTCTTTGTAAAATTAAGTTTGCGAAATGCTGTGAGATTTTCAATTCTAACTAGAATATAATTATAAGATAAAAGAATGACAAGAGAAACTATTCCTGGATCTTCCTTTTATGACTACTTTGCCTGAATCTCTCTGACAAAAATAAAGCCTGGCTAAGAGCAGTACATGAGGTGTAGGCAACATATCAGGCTTCCGTTTCGCAATTGAAGTACTGCAGCAGATTTTTACCCTGTCATCACAATATTGAGTTGTCAGGGACTACGTCTCATGTTTTTGATTAACTACATCCCAATGACCACAATGATTATAAATTTAAAACATAATCATACTAGTTTAAATAGTATGGTAGAGGTTGTATATATTATAACAGAAAAATAGCATTTTTAGACAGTGACTAATGGCAATGAATTAATGTGTATATACTAATTTCAGCATAACTAAAGCAGAGAAATATTTCAATTAGCTTATGTTTGGTGCTTTTTTATTTAAAATTCACATTTATGTATTTGTGTGTGGATCTGTGTATACACACCTGCAATAAATAAGTCACATAGAAGTCAGAAGACAATTTGCAGAAGTTTTTCCAAGCTCAGGTTATCAGGCTTGGTTGTGAGTATATTTACTAGCTGAGCCATCTTGCTGGAATGATATTTATTTAAAGAATGTATTTTACTATTTCAAGTGTATATGAGTGTGTTTCTTGGTGGGTGGAATATGTCCATGTATGTGAATGCATTGCCTACAGAGGCCAGAGGTATTAGATCCCCTGCACCTGGAGTTATAGGTGATTGTGAGATGCCCGACAAAGGCAGTTGAAATTGCAGGTCCCTGCAAAAGTAGTACATGCTCATAATCACTGAGTCATCACTCCTGACTGTCTTATTTTTTAAAGATTAGAATTTTTTAATGCCTGAGCTTATGATAAATTCCATTGCATGGGAATATTTTAAAGAGAAACACTGGTCAATTTTAGGTTAAGAGAATCCTGATTGGATATTGAAATTACTCTATATTGGCTTTTATATTATAAGATAAAAAGTTAAGTATTCACATATTGAGAAAGTTCATCTAAATACTATCTATCTAAATATCTATCTGTCTGTCTGTCTATCTGTCCATCCATCTATCTGTCTAGTGCCTGGCAATGTCTAGGCAAGCAGTGAGAGGCTTTCTTATTCAGGTGTTCCCTGTAGTTTTTCTGTATGGTAGCATATTTAAACTACTGTTGTAAAGATCAAAAGCAACCTTGTAGCTAAATGATTCCAAAATTAATTGTATATATTTAAATTAGTAGTATTGACTAATGAACAAATCAAACAATTATTAATTACCTTCATGTTTTTATGATGTTAAAATGTATATTGAACATGTGGATACTTGCATAAAAATCCATTTATTTTGTGGCAAATTCTGTGGACTGTTTCCATGCAAGAGCATAGAGAATTACAATCTATTTGCTATTATCTCTTGTTGGTAGGTATTTCCAGAGAAATGTGAATGTTTACAAAGCCAAAATTAATAGGAAATGTGATTTCAAAACCAAAATTATAGTAAAATACAAGTTATTGATACCCTCATTCCCAAATCTCTAAAATTGGAAATCTATCAGAATGCCACTTGCAAAGTAAAACTTTTCCACTTAATCTAAAATGTACAACATAAGATCAAAAGGACTCTGTCTTTGAATCTTAATTCTAGTATGGGAGGGAAGAGACTAGATTAAAGAAGTTTCGATTATGGATAATTATCTTCTTATTTTTGTAGAGTCTGGAAAATTATATCACATTAGTTACTTTTCCTGCTGCTGTGATAAAATACAGGAGCTGGAGAGATGGCTCAGTAGTTAAGAACAGTGATTGCTCTTGCAGAAGACCCAGGTTCGATTCCCAGCACCCACATGGTGGCTACGAACCATCCTTAGCTCCAGTTCCAGGGGAATACGAAGCCTTCTTCTGACCTCCAGGGTATGCACAACACAGGTGCACTTGCATGACAAGATAAGGTTGTAAACTTTCCATGACACAGGTGCACTCACATACATGCAGGCAATAAACTCATACACATAAAATAAAAAAATAATAAAATATTTTCTAAAATACCCTTAAGGGAGAAAAGGTTTATTTTGGCTCACAGTTCAGTGGTATAGTCAGTCCACTAAGGTGGGGAAACCCAGCAGGAACTTGAGGCAGCTGGTCACATTGCATCTGAAGTTTGGAAGCCTAGAGTGATGAACCCTTTTGCATAATCCTTGGCCTTTAATAACTGACCAGCGGGAAAAGTGCCAGGAAAGCATGCTAATGGTTCTTTAAATACAAGCTTATTTGAGGCACTTTTTAACAGATTAGTCAAAATGGTTTTTGGCACTCCCCACATTGCCATAACCAAGGTTGAGGCTGTGGAAAGTGTCTGGACCTTTCAGAGCATCCCAGCCTTTACCCACGCCCCAAAGAATTCCCACAAAGATCCAAGGAATGTGAGCTTCCAAAAACAAATCACAAAACCTTCTGCTTGGGGAGGTTTGTCTTTCAGAAATGACTACGGGAGTCACTAGACAGACAGAGCAAAAGACAGAGAGATCCATGTTCCAAAATTAAGAACAGATTGGACAGTTCTGATTTGTAGACATGGTCACTAATTTGAAGAACGAGAATTCTCAGCTTTTCTGAAGGTAGGTGATCTACTACTGCCATTGAGACTTGTAAAATACAATATTACCAAACAAAAAAAGCAGTTTAGTTTCTAGTTACCAAAACTTTGCAAATGTTGAATAAATATGTATCATGTCCCCTGAATCCACCCTTACTGTGTACATGAACTCTGACCAAGCATTACTGTATCGTTCAATGTGTGAGTTCCTTTGACTCACAAAAGAGAATTTGTAATGCATTAGCCATACTATTGTTTTTCTTTCTGTTTCCTCCTGTCCTCACCCTTCCTCCAGTCCTCCCTTGCTTTTCTTCCTTTTTTTCTAGTCTTAAAATTTCTATGAAATTCAAGCTGAGTTAGAATACTGTTTTATTTTACCAAATAGCTTCCGTTTTTGCAAAATTCAGTATATGAGTCATATGGTGGAAGAAGACGTATTATAAAGGTAAGGTCTCATGTTTATTTTATTTGTTCATCTAAATTTTATTTACTTGTGTGTATGTGTGTGGTGTTTCTATGAGTCTCTCTCTCTCTCTTTCTCTCTCTCTCTCTCTCTCTCTCTCTGTGTGTGTGTGTGTGTGTGCATGTAGAAGTCAGAAGAAAAATTGCAGAAAACTTATAGAAGTTAGCTCTCTTCTTCTGCTATGTAGGTCCTGAGATTTAATTCAGTTTGTCATACTTGGCAACAAGCACTTTTATCTTCTGAGCCATCTGACCAGCCTTGTTTGAGACAGGGTGTATTATTAGTCAGGGTTCTCTAGGGAAGAAAGCCAATTAAATGAATATATATTTAAAGGGTATTTATTAGATTGACTTACAGGACATTGTCTGGTTAGCCCAGCAAATGGTTAAATCCCACTGGAAAGAGCCTTAAGAAACTGGCTCTACTATGAGTTAAGAAGGCAGTAGTAACAGGACAGATGAACTTTCCAGAAGGAGTAAAGGTGGGCAGGCAAAGAGCAAAATTGCCTTCCTTTATGTCCTTTAATCTGGGCTGCAAACTACTGCCCACATTTAAAGTGCATCATCCCACATCAAATGATCTGATCAGAAAGACCTCAAGGGAGTGAGTGCCTAGTGCCTTGTTTTTTAGTTGATTCCAGCTCCAGTCAAGTTAACAACCAAGATTAACCATCACACAGAATTGCACTATTTAGTACAGACTAGCCGAAAACTCATAGTAATCTACTATTCCAGCCTCCCCAGTGCTAGCATTATAGGAATGAGCCACCACACCCAGAAATTTGGTCTAATATGCAAAAAAAAATGCTGGAATACTCCTTTTTAACTTGCTTCTTTATTGTTTCAAAATGCCACAAAAACTCACCCTTGCAACATAATTTGTTTGAATATGGGGGAAAAAGTGAATAGAAAGTCCTTGAAATATCTGAAGTCACACACTGTACCTCTCTGAGACAGAATTCCAAGTCTAAATCAATAGCCAGCTTGCCTGCTCTTTCTGACTTCCTCTCAGAACAACAGTTGACTGAACGTCTAATAAAGGACAAATAGATTTTATGAGATGAGTGTGTGATTTCAGTCTTCCAGTCTTATTAACCATGTGGAAATAGTCATTGAGTTAAGATGAACAGAAACAATCCAAATGTCTTATATTTTTCTAAAATGAAGGCTATGGTTATCTGTTTTTATTAGATTTTCATGAGATATTTAGTCAGATGACATTTTCAGCCCATTTTTGGAATGTTGTTAATTCCAGATTTGCTTGTGTGGAATGCAAGATTAGCAACATTCCCGAAAGCATAGAAAAAAAACTTTTTCACTCATGTGTTATTGTTAAAAAAGCAACAGATGTTACATTTGAGATTTTGCAATCCAGCTAGACACTTACCACTTCCTCGTGCAATAATTCATTTCTCAGTGGTCTTAAAATTTGAGACCAATAAATATTGATTTATTCTGAGATGATACAGTGACATTACCTGTAAAAATATGATTATTATTTCCTCATTAAACTAGACCATTATTGTAGGGTCTTCCATAACGCTTCCCCTTTGTGAGTGGATTCAGTGTCTCCTTTCTGATAGAAAGGATTAAGGTTCTTGAGTTTTCAAGGTTCATCATGTAGTTAATCTTTCAAAATACCTCTTATTTGGAACAGAAATCAAGTAGCAACTAAGGAAAAAATGCATTGCCTCAAAATGAAGAGACCGGACGGGCATTTTGCCGCTTATTTGACTAAGGCTTATTTTCTGATACAGTTGGAGGCTATGGAGAGTGATCTGTGGTACACTCATTAAAGAGGATTACAGCAATCCAACTTGGAAAATGGGATAGAGTTTCATTGCCAGCTGGAGATGAAAGATATTTCTAGTTTTTACGGCAATCAAAGTTCAGAAACAGTAAAACAAACCAAAAATGCAGTTCTGGTAGACTACTTTGCCACTGGAAACTAGTAGACAAAGTTTCCTTTTACTGGAGAGCCAGCATTTTCTTGATAGGTTAGCAAATGATTTTTGCCTAACAATTGTTAACATGTCAGTCACTTTGACCAGGTGAAACTCCATCCAACTGAAGTCCATCCATATTTCTACACCTTCTTTGCCTGTAAGTGAGAACTTTCAATCACATGAGGGTGCATATTCCACTTGAATACTTGAAAGCTTGCTTCTCAGTCATTCTTACCCAATGTACCCCAGGCTTTGCTTTATAACTGAGCCTCCATGTATTTTATGCTGTTGTTTCTTCTCTTTTCTTTTTTTTTTCACTTGTTGGCATTTCACTTTATTTTATATCAAATTATTAATTTGTTTTAAAGATTTATATTTTATTTTATATATATGTATGTGTGATTGCCTACATGTGTGTATGTGTACAAGGTATGTGCCTGATGCTTACAGGGGCCAGAAGAGGGCATTGGATCCCTGGAATTGGAGTTAGTGGTAATTGTAAGCTGCTATATGTATGCTGGGACCAAACCCAGGTCCTCTCCAAGAGCAGTGGTAATTCGACTTTCCATGAAATCTTGTTTTCTAATGCATTAATAGGCAAATGTACATATTACTATGTAATATTTTGTATTTTGATAACACTGTATGAAAATGATGGGTCTTCACTGTCATCTGTTTTATTTTATGCACTTAAAAGCACTCTTCTGAGACCATAGACCTCGTACTTCTTGTCACAAGAAAATATTATTTATTCATATGATTAATTGTTCACAGATATGCAAAATTAATCCTATTGGTTCTATATTTATGCTTTCTCTATCTTTTATGTCCAGTCTAATTGTTTCTGTGAGTATGACAGTTTACTTTGTTATGATATATAAAGGATTAGACAATAATAATATACACATAATCTTAAAATTTTTATGGTCATAGTTTAGTCAACTAGTTTAAGGAACAAAATATGTATTTAGTCAAGGTTAATATGAGAATATTTGGTTTTTTACTCAAGCCTTATCTACATAGCACATGATAATTAAAAAGTACCAGACTGGTGGAACTAACCTTACTGAATGTTTAACAGCTATATTTTGAGGCCTATACTAATGTGGTCAGAGGGACTTAAAGGACAGTTTTTGCCCCTTGCACTCCAAGGCCAAATAAGTTCCAGGGAACTATGGAACATGTCTCAAAATTTCCTGTAACTGTGGTGAGTGAGTCACCTGTCCTCTTGTTCAGGGAGGACATGGAAACCGCACAAGATGGACATGAACCAGTGTCCAGTCTACAAAGAAGAGGGTCAACTCAGAGGAAACATCTCCTTCATGCTTCCAAGTGAAGCCAGCCATGTTCGAGCAGGACCTTTGACTTATCTTCACATAGATGGAACTTGTAAAAGAAAGGAGCCAGGAGTTCCTCCCAAGCCCATGTGACCCCTGAGGAACAGATCCTCAAATGACCTTAAGTGTAAAAATAAATTGATTTATTTGGGCCAACT